CCTGGATATTGCTGCTTCCCTGATGTCTGCTATCCCCCTTTCTGCAGATAGATTATGGGTCAATCAATAATAAAGGTTTGAGGATGGCGCCCTTCATAACCCCAGCTGTCCAAAAATATGTCAGTAAAACTAGAAAAAGCCATAAGGGCTGATTTGTGTAGAAGATTCTAATGTGTTATATTCATAAACTATGTAGGGAAAAATTAGTAAGCATCACTGTTAGCTAGATTCAATTTATATCAAGCTGTGGAGAAATGGTCACAAGAAAAGAATATTCTTATAGATCACTCTTGAAATAGAACTTTAATAAAACACATAATTTTATTTAAAAGCAAAACTAGCCTTAACTAGCTTAACCACATGCCAAGTAAAGTCACAGAGTTTCAAAAGGTAAAAACTGCAAGGCTTGAAGGAATGTGAGGTGTGAATTGCAAGGTATGATGTTCAGTGTTACTATATAGAGTGCATAGGTTGGAGAATATGACCACTCTTGAGAGCAATGGTAGTTTTAAAACATATTGAACAAAGGAAATCAGGAATTTGAGATTGTTATTAATAACAAGGTAGTACTTAAAAAAAAAATCTTGAATTTTTTTTTTAATGAATGTATTTTATTTCCTGATACATTTCTCTATGAATAAGGAGCAAGTAATCCATAGAGAGGATTAGGCAGTCTTAAAGTTGACAGGTGAGCTAAGGACTGGTACTCTGGTCTTGAAGAAGGMGTGGGTGAACCTCTGGCTCTAATTAAAGTGTCACCACTGGCCTCACTGTATCCGATGTTACACACAGAAGACTGAATCCCTCCCAGCACTTACGCTGAAACAACCTTGCCGTTTTTTTTCCATTGGTATTACTGAAAGCAGAATGCAGCCATTATACACAAATAATTCAGTGTTATATTGGATTAGTTTTAATTAACTGATAAATGAGAAAAAGTGCTTCTACACTTTTGTCATTCTGTTTTTGCAGTTGCTTCCTGAATTGTCTTTAGCTTTCTCATCTAAATATAATAYAAGTAGGCAGAAATGTTGGACATAACCTGACATTATCATCTTTTTTTAAGGTAACCCACAACGTTGATTATTAACAGCCCAATCGACAGTGCAGAGTGGCTTGGGCAGTTCTACAAACTGGCTATGTTCAAAGCTGTTAATTTTGTTGTACAGTGTGCTCCCATAAAGGCAGAAATGAGCATGACTTGGCTCACTTTAGATAAKAAAAAATTGTAAGAATTGGAACTGTGTTTTACTTGAATTATTGCTTCACAGAAGATGTAGACATTCCAAACAATAGGCTTGGCAAAAACAAATAATTTACTCTATTAAAAAAGCAGAGGAAGTTCATAGTAAAATCATATGATGGGGAAATGCCCATTGTTCCTTGGATGCCCCCAAAAAGTGATGTTTTTTCCCTATATATATATCATTTTGTCTAAGGAACTGTCAAACATTTTCACTCTGAGTATCTTGAAAATCATACGGAAGATTTTTTCCTTCTTCCTGTATTCACCTCCTGTACTCATATGTGTCTAGCAGTTCTAAAAGTAATTTCTGCCTGCTGTAAACAAAGGCATGATTTCCAATGCAGAAGCTGTTATTCTAACATCAGGACAAATGATAGGCAGAGGTGAGGAGCTGGTCTTCATCTGATTTAGGTCTTCTTTAAAAGTATGTTGYTTATATAAATGTAGATTTTGTATAATAAATAGTAACAAGTTTCTCTTRCCTTGGGTTTCCATATACGCATTAAGTATGGTATATACTAGTTCTGAAGCAAGACTGTACATGTAGGTGCCATTTTTGGTTAAAGTACGTAAGCAGATAAAAAGAAATCACAGAATAGAAACAATTTTATAATTCAAAATGATTTTAAATCTCCCAGAAATATACTAAAATAAGAAGATGTTACAGCAAATATGTGACTGTACATATGATGTACGTGTACTGTAATGTGGCAGATACCAGTTGGAAGCGGTATTAAGTGTCTAGTGTTTCACACTAGTGATAAAAACTAAAATGTCTTTATTGAAATGTCTTCTAAAAGTTTTAATTGGACTATTTAAAAGAAGAATAATCAGCTTGGGAAAGACTATTACTCTCTCTAGGATTGTTGTCAACAAGATATATTAAAGTTATACATCTTTACAAGATGTACTAAAATTAAGGGAAAAAAAAAGGAACTACCAAAGGTATCTTCTATACAGGATTATTAAATTGCTAACTTGCTAGTAGGCTCCAGCTGTTTCAGCAAGCTCATACAAGCTCATTTCGCAAAACTGTTTATTAGTTGAAGTGCACTTTGTCATTGCCATTGGAGGAATAGATTTGAATTATGGTTGTGTCTCAAATGGAGTTAGCAGCATGATCTCAGTTCTGTATCATTTAGCTAACAAGATTATGAAGATTATGCAGAYATAATGAATAGGTTCTGCTCAGACAAGTGTAGACCTCTGGAGATAGCTAAAATTCAATGCAGGACTGTTCTGGTGGCCACTAGATATGAAGAGCTTGGGCTGTCATAAAGCCAGACTGCACCGTTTTGTCAGAACCGTGACAAACTGGAAGAACTTAGGCAAACTGGATGCTCATCCCACCCTAGTTGGGATGCGCCAAGAGTGCTGAGGGAACTGGCAGGCATGATTGCTGGACCACTCTCTATCATTTTTGAGAGGTCATGGAAGAAAGCCAATATCACTCTCATCTTCAAAAAGGACGGGAAGAAGGACCTAGAAAACTACAGGCTGGTCAACCTCACCTCCATCCCTGGAAAGATGATGGAGCAGCTCATCCTAGAGAGCATGTMAAGGAATAGAAGGTGATCAGGAGTAGTCAGCACCAGGGGAAGCCGTGTTTGATGAACCTGATAGCCTTCTATGATGACTGGCAGGATRGATGAGTGGAGAGTCATGGATGTTGTCTACCTTAACTTGAAGCAAGGCTTTCAACACTGTCTCCTATAACATCTTCATGTGGAAGCTTGAGAACTGTGGGATAGATGAGTGAATAGTGAGCTGGATTGAGAACTGCCTGGATGGCAGAGCTCAGAGGGTTGTGATAAATGAGGCCRAATTGAATTGGAGGCCTGTGGCCAGTGTTGTGCTCCAGGGGTCAATCAGTGCCTTGGACAAGGGCACAGAGGGCACCCTGAGCAAGTTTGCGGACGATACCAAGCTGGGTGGAGTGGCTGACAGCCCAGAGGGCTGTGCTGCCATCCAGAGGGACCTGGACAGSCTGGAGAGTTGGGCAGAGAGGAACCTCCTAAGGTTCAACAAGCACAAGTGCAGGGTCCTGCACCTGRGSAGGAATAACCCCAGGCACCAGGAGAGATTAGGGGTTGACCTGTTGGAGAGCAGCTCCAYGGAGAGGGACCTGGGAGTCCTGGTTGACACCAAGTTATCCATGAGGCAGCAGTGTGGCCTCATGGCCAAGAAGGCCAATGGGATCCTGGCCTGCATCAGGAGGAGTRTTGCCAGCAGAGAAGGGAGGGGATCCTACCCCTCTCCTCAGCTCTGGTCAGGCTGGGCTTTGAGTATTGTGTGCAGTTCTGGGCTCCCCAGGACAAGAGGAATGTGGAACTTCTAGAAAGGGTCCAGCGTAGAGGAACAAAGATAATCAAGGGACTGAAGCATCTATTGTATATGGAAAGACAATACCTTGTACAAGGTAAGGCTATTTAGCCTGGAGAAGAGAAAAATGAGAGGGGATCTTATCAATATGCACAAATACTTRAGGGGAGAATATAGAGGTTGGGGTCAAACTCTTCTCAGTGGTGGCCAGTGATAGGACAAGGGTCAATGGGTACAAATTGAAACACAGGAAATTCCATCCGCATGTGAGGAACTTCTTTCYTGTGAGGATGACAGAGCCCTGGAACAGGGTGCCCAGGGAGATTGTGGAGTCTCCTTCTTTGGAGATCTCCCAAACCCGCCTGGATGCTGCCCTGTGCTCTGGGTGACCCTGCTGGAGCAGAGTGATTGCACTAGATGGTCTCTAGAGGTCCCTTCCAACCTCAACTATTCTGTTATTCTGTAATTCTGTTATTTTTATAATACAGTGAAGCTCATGGTGACACGAATGCAATTACAGAGCTGTTTAGGCCTGTTGGTACTGAAATATGTTCTCCTTTTAATTATGCTTCTTAAGCAGATRTATTTTGCTCACTTTAAATGAAATCTGTATTAACTAGAACAGTACGGTTAAGTACAGATAATACAGAAATGGATCCTTTCCTTACMAAAAAAAAATGTGTTTTGTTGTGAGTGGCTCATGAGGAGGCCTAGGAACAAGTCAGTATTACTGATTCTACAGAATCCTTCRTGCCATCTATTTTTAAATTTTGATTCATAGTTCAGATGCACATCATTCGTATTTATCCTTATTTTAAGTAATTTCCAGTACAAAATCATGTTTTATTTTTCAAATGCAGCCAAGTATATAGCCATAGTGTGTATATATATATATATATATATACTATATAGTATATAGCCATGTAGGATTGTGAAACAAAGACACATATATTTGAGGACCGTTCTCTTACCTAAACATTAATTGTTTATTAAAAAGAGCAGCAGTATGAAAACAATTTGATTCATGTCAACTTTAAGAATTTCAAAAAAGTAAACTATTCCCCAGTGTAAATTTCTGTTTAGCCATGTTATTCTTGGAACACTGTGAAAATGTAACATATTTTTTTTTAATGAGTCTTTTATGGATGTTCAGAGGTGCTATAAGTACAGACAGCATTAGTTCTCAGAATGTGAAACATTTTTCACAGTCATTTATTTTCTATTGGAATGTAAGAAATAATTTTGTTTGTGCAGTGAATGACATATGTGTGACATTGCATGTGGATAAGAGCAATAACTTTTTCATTGTAAAAATATTTTTTACTTTTAATTATATTTTTTATTTATAAAATATTTCTTCTCTTAAAAACATATTTTTTTTGTGTGTATATATTTAAACAATTTCTTTTTTTTTTTTTTTTTTTTTTCTTAGGGTGAAAAGGGAGATAAAGGAGAACCAGGACCAGAAGGCATTCACGGAAGAGAGGTAAAGTGGCAGATAATAAAATAGTCAAGTTATCAAGTTTTGAGGGGATGGCAAAGCAATACGATTAGAAATTTATGGAAGGAAAATGGTGGATTTAGGAAATATGTAGTCCTATAAGGAAAGGAGATACATCCATATCATAGAATCATAGAATGCCGAAGGTTGGAAGGGACCTCAGAGGTCATCGAGTCCAACCCCCCTGCTCACGCAGGGTCACCTAGAGCACGTAAATCCAATATGTGTTCTTAAGTCCTAAAGTTGGATTGGACAGTTGTAGGTGAGAATATGTCGAAAGTTTGTGACATAAACTCAAAGCAGTTTGGGGATTAAAGCAGTACACTATAGATGAGAATAATTCCTTTTTGGATAATCTGATAGAAAAATAGGACTTTAAAGGCAGAGGAAAGCCTATCGCTGTGCCATGTGGCTCAAGCAATAGTGAATTCAAGTAAAAAATTCAGAAAAATTCCAGATTTCACTGCCAGTTTGGTTAATTGATCTGAATCAATTGGTCTATATTTGAACTAGAGCATGAACCTAAGTATAAAAAATCTGGATAACCTTAGCCTTTGAGTTTACATTCAAGCCTCCGCCTGAACTGACACTGTAGATATGCCTAGTAATAAACCTTAATAATCCTTACTTTTGCCTGATACATTTTTTAAATGAGAGAAGTAAGATGACAGAGTAGAAAACCACAATTTTATCAATAATAGAGCAATACTAAAGTGATGAACCAGCATGATTTGAGAAGAAAGATTAAAAAAAAAAGAAAAGCCACAATTTTTCTTTACTCCCCTCCAGTCTCCTGCTTGACCTGAGTGGAGGTCAATCTGGGTTTACTTGGCTCTCCAATTGCAAAACATTTCCGCTGAAGGCAGAGGGCATCTCACAGAGGGATCTGAACTTCAGTGTCTAAATTCTTTTGGGAGCAAATGACATTTTGACTGGAATTCTACTCAATGACCAGATAAGGGATTTGGAAAAAGAGTTCAGCAAAGCTTACTCAGCAACCTTACCGAAAGAGCAGAAGGTTCCTCTTTTCACACCAACATGCCATGACAGTCTAGCCACGCTTATTAAAAATGCAGGCAAATTATGTAGCTATTTGCATTGAGCTACAGATATATCTTATAGTTTTTAAAACAAACTACCTATTTWTTACACTTTTTATGTCATCTGGCTTTTTATGCACACTGTAGCAGCAAGAAGTTTTTTTTYCCCTCTATTCTAGGGTGTTATAATTTAATACTAGATAAATGAAGCTATTTTGGGGTAACAGTGAATGCCCTACATATGAAAATGTATACTGTGTACTGAGTTGAATCTAGATTTAGGTATTCAAAGAGGTATTCTCTTGTAGCCTGACTGTCTGTAAAGGTGAACTGTATACTTGTGCCGTGCATATATATATGCTGACAGCATGGAAAAACACATCTGTGTTTCTTTCCATAGCTCTGAGGACATTTCTGYGTTGGTCTTACACGATCTCCTTTACTACATGGGATCTTGTTCCATAAACCTTTTAGGATGAGGAAGGAATACCAAATATCTGCTGAACTCTAAAACATATTTGACATGGTGGCACTGTGAAAATGTAAAATATCAAACCTTTATATTTTGAAATATTTATCCAGCTCTTGTAATGGTCAAAATATGGCAGATTATCATCATGAGTACTATCTTTAAAACATTTTTGAAGTACTATTACACAAGACAATATAACATTATATTATTCAAACCCCCATATCACTCCTTTTTAGCAGCACTTAAATAAAATGCTTTGAATTCAGTTATCATAAGACAGCATGGAGATGCCAGTCATTAAGTTTAAATTCTAGGGATTGTGTATCATTGGCTCTTGTTTGCTATCAGTGTCTTCCAAACTCTTTCCACACACAGAAATGTAACATCTGATATTTCCGAAATAATGAAGTTAATCTGCTTGCRCTGGTGTAATCAGCAGTGTTGTATAAAGAAAGCCTGAAAACACATCAAGCAAGTGATAGCGGCTGTTGGCAGCTGTTGTCTCCCTGCCCAGGGGACCGAGGGTTCCTGGGTTTCCATGCTCCCAAATGAAGAACTTACAAATGAAAGCTGAACATTTTCTCTTGCCCAGATGGTAGAAATATATTTAAATCTCTATAAATCAAAATCAGGAAAGAGTGTCAGAGGAAAAAAAATGTTTTGGTTTTTGTTACTTTTCTTTTCCTAGCTGTACAGAAAGTTCGTGCTAGGATGAAGTAGAATGACAAGATGGGAATACCAAAGGTTATTAGGAGACTGTCTTTATGTATTAATGAAGGATTACCGCAAAGGTTTACTCTCTTCATCCCCAGCTGATTTGGGGATGCACTGTGTTTCAGTTGATCCCATTCAGAACGAGTTTGGGTTGCAGGAATTGTGAATATTTTTAACTGCTGTGCACATCTCCCAGTTTATCACTACATGAATCTGAGCCAAGATGTACATGCTCTATCCCAGCCTGAGACTCAAAATTCATCTGACAGCGCAAATACTGACTATAAATACCAGTAATGCTATTGCCATTGTTTTCGGCTCCTCTAGGAGTAGCTATAAATAGCTTACATTACCAGCGTAGTTCTCCTGTGGAATGTGTTTGTGTTACAGCTGTAAGCAGCTGTTTACCTATATAATTAAACTATCAGTTTGCTTGAGTAGTATCTTTGCATTTTTTCCCTTGAGATTTTTATAGCCTGTTTGCATTAATAGTGTTATAATTTTTATCCTTATAACAAGTGAATCTTCATGGACACACTATCTGGAAGAAACCCCAATACATATGATTGCTTTTCTATCACACTTGTATTCCRTATGAGACAACAACACATTTGCAATGCAGATAATCATGAAGYTATTTGTGGAATAAGTTCTGTGCGACATGCATGTTACTGTCAGTTGAATTTGAATTGAAACTTTTCATCATTGAAATTCCCAGATTCCTTTTGTCATTGGGTCAGCTTTTTGGTCTGTGGTGTTGGCAGGAAAGTGAGATAATAACAATTATTTTTTTGCTGAAATAAATCCGGTGACATAGATGAAACTYGGAAGTTTTACCATACCTGGACATACATAGCTAGCAGAAGAATAGAGTCTTTTTTTTTGCAAATTGTAGGAAAAAAAATCTGTAAAAATATCAGATGAAAATGATGAAATGAAAATCTAGTACATAATATCTACACAGATATGATTGATTGATTGAATATGTTTTCTTCTACTGCTGGGAAGTATGATGCCCTAAATGACTTTTTAAAAAAGCTTTGTTATATAAAATGTTGTGGGTTTTATTTATATATCTCATATCACACAACAAAGCTGTGGAGTCCAGTGAGCTAACCAATTTTTAAATGGAAACAAGAAAAATATAAACAATTTATGGCCTTTTTATTCTTGTGCTTGCGGGTTTTGAAAAGGATTGAGTGCCTTGATTAAATTTTTTTTTTCACACTCTCATGATCCCTTTATGACTTTCTAATCTTGAAATCTCTTCATTTTAGCATTGTGAAGAATTATTTTGATGGTAAGAGAGGAAGTCCATACTTGAAAGTGTGCATTTGGTTTTGATAGACCGAGTTTGAGGATTCTGTTTGGAGCACAAGTATAAGGAAATAGTAGGCAGTGACTGAACACCAGAAAACCCTAATTGTGAAGCAGTTTGAAATTTTTGAATGACATTGGCAAGAAAAGACGAATGGCAATATTTAGAAGTACATGAAATATCGACTGAAAATTAGTATTAACTGGAGCTTTTAAAGTACTTTTCTAAAACACTTATCCTAACCTATACCTATTAGTGTTGTACAGATGGCTTTGAAGAGGTTGTTTTAATTTAGGTTGTAAGACAGTTCTGTGGAGATAATGTAGGTTGTCTGTATTATTCAGTAGAGCATTTCCAAGTTTTGTTATACAGTAGAGATTGATTTGATCCGTGATTGGGGTCCATACCCCAATGTGTTGGGTTGTTTACCTTATTTTCAATACTTTAGACATGATGTGTTTTAGGACATTCTAACCTGTGATAAGACTGAGCCAGTTTTTACTGTTATGCAGGGCTGGGAATTTATGTCAAAACCTATGTACAAGTTGGTTTGAAATGTTTTCTGCATCCAGCAATAGAAATAATAGAAGATACTGACCAACACTTTTCCCAAACAGTTCCCTTATAAAATGAAAAATCTATTTTCAACATTATGTGAATCTTACATTATTCATTAACATATATATGATCCCATTCATGTCTGGTATTATGATAAATATCCTGTGTCAGGGTGAGAGGTTAATGGCCTTCTTAGGTATTTTCCAGCTGTGGATATGTAAGTAGCTAATGACAGTTGAGAAAAGGCTGTATTGGTGCTGTTTGTGTTGTAGTTGGTATCAGTCTTCTCATCTCAGTAGTTTGTCTTCAATGAACTGCTCAACAGCATCCTGCTTATTTAGACCCTTGGTCTCACTGATTYTCCAGTCCATGTGGAAATTCTTTAATCAAGTTCTCTGTTTCTAGGCAGTGTAAACCTCATAGCTCTTGAAGGGTTTCCCTGAAAGCTTACTCTTTCTTTATTGAAGTTTCTGGATTGACTGCAAAAGTAACATTGTTAGTCTGCAGCTCACAGTCCTCCTTGAACCTTCTTGGGTTGTCATTCAAATCCCYGTGTCTAGATTGCAAACTTTTTATCACAGTGATTGGAAGCCCCTTGGTCTCAGCTGGAGAGGTGTCTGCTCATTAAGCCTTTTGTGCTTTATAAATCCCTGTGTAGGATTTTAAACTCAGGTGAACATCACAGCATCAAGATAAAAGCAATGGACGAGTCTGCAAAAAAAATCTAGTTTTACAGAAGCAGACATCTTTAAATTACAAGATGTTTTGCCCATGCTGTGTAAGTACTCATATATATTTCTCTTTTAATAGAACCTCTGTAGAGGTACAGGAATATTCACAAATGAGACTTACTTCATTCAAATTGCTTTTGTCATTGAGCTGGCAGATTAGATGATATTGCCGCAGGCTAGATGTCTAAATAGCCACATAGTGTAGTTTTTGAAATAGTACAGGCATATGATATATGGATTGCAAACACAAGCATCAAGCTATGAACCTACTGTTCATCTTCTGTAGCTTTTGCTAGTGGAGTAGTAGTAGTGGTTTGTGGATCAACTTGTCATAAAAGAATTGTAGTTAAGACTACTTGACTTAGGGGAAAAAGTTGTTCAGTTACATTTTCTTCCAAAATCTTTGGCTGTTCTAATTTTATCCAAATGACTGAAACCATAGAAACTGAAAAACTGTTCAGTTATTTGGCTCCAGTAATACCTGGCATTTCTTTTGAATGAATAAAATGTTTTCCAAGTTAGTAAAGAACATATTCATCAAATCACTAAGTAAAGTTATTTTTCTTTGCCATGGAACTCGAAAGCATAGTATGCTTCATATGAGACAGTCTTTAGTTTTAAAGGGAAAATGTACATAGTAAAACTATTGCCTTCTATGCCAATAGGTGGTAAGTTACCGATTATAAATCTCATCATTTGAGCAATTCATGAAATCAAGACCAATTTTAGAATTTTAAAGCATAGGGGTTTTTTTTAACTCAAGTTCTTTTCATAGTGCAATTGGCTTTGTAGGTTGGCTAAGACCCAGTAAACTAGTGTTGGAAAAGAACATAATGAAAGATTTGTCAAAAAAATGGCTTGTCAGCCAATATGACAACTTCTCCTTTAGATTGCTTCCACCAGAAGAAATACATGGTTGTATGATAGGTCAGGGGAGAATTTAGATTTTCTGTCTGATGCAATTATAGTAAACCTCTTGATGGCAGGTGTCTGAATGTTGCAGAAAGAGTAAAATCATACTGATGAGGAAAGGAAGAAGTGATGCTGTTAGAGGTACCTTACAGATGTCCCCTTCTATAGGGGTTCAGGGTGCACACTGTATCCCCTCATCCTCCCCATGGAGAATGTGTTATGTCCTTCCCATTCACAGCAAACAGACAGACACTGCTCAAAAAGGTGATTTATTGTCCTGATTCAAGCTGTGGTGATGAGGTGGTTAGGTCTGGCCTGTTTCATGCATATGTAAGTCACCTCAATTTAAGTTTGTTTGCCTTACAGAGAGCTCAAGCTGTAGTCCTGTCGTGGAATGAGTGGTGGGGGTGAGTGAGTGACAAAATGCACTTCACCCGTATGAAAGAAATAATAATAGGGTTTATTGATATGGACAATGATTTCACGAGATTCTGTGGCAAGGTCACTTATTATTCACTGCATGGAGGTTCAAGATAATACACACTTATCTTGGGATACCCTCCTGTTGAGTCACCAGGTTCAGATTGGACCCCCTTGCTTTCCAAGCTCCTTCTGAGAGGAGTCTGGGTGCAGCTGCATCCAATCCAAGTCCCAGACCTGGTCAGCAGTTTATGACTAAGGGATTCTGTGCACAGTTGCAAAGTGAAGTTTAAAGAGAGCGCGCTATATTCACTTACCACCAATCTGTTGTTGAAATGCATCTCTCARCCTCGAGGAGTAACCTTGAGAGGCGTCCCTGCCCAAGGGGAKATCCTGATGTGCAGCCCGCTGCCATGCCAGGAGAGTTCAAGGGGCTCTTGGGCTGTCCACGTATTTTTAGGATAAGATGACTGACTTATAGTCATTCTTTCACATCAAATGGCGTGCCTAGTGTATTAGCCTTTTCTCCCCATCAGGATGCAGCCTTCAGGACTGTTATGTTGATGTCTGAGTGAGAGAAGAAATCAGGAAAGCGCCTACCAGGATCAGATAAGTCGCTGGTGGTAAACAGCTGAATAGGGCTACGTGTGAAAGATCAGGTTGAGCTGGGAAAAGAACTGGGAAAAAGCTGGGAAAAGAATCTGTCGCAAGTCCTTACATAGGAGGAAAAGGTACCAGTTGAAGGCCATAAATAAAGAAGTAAAATGAGTTCCTAAACTCACAAATGTGTATTACTGTGTTGCCCCATAAAAGCTAGAGTTAGATATGGTTGGAAATCCCTAATTCATCTACACTTTGCTATGAAACCTGCTTGAGTTTTCATTCAGGTCYTGAAATTCTAACAAACCTGATAACAGACTCCGTGGATCAATGTAAGTTAGTCTGTTGTTTTCAAAACTCATGTCTTTATCTCCTAAAGAACTGCTGAAAATGATGAATTTAAATGAATAATTTAAAGGCTCACCTAAAATCGTCCAATCTGTGTCTGTTGAAATAACCACATCGATTTTGTAGCATCCTGTTCTGGTCTCTGCCAGAGACAGGATACTGTACTGTGTTGTACTGGAAGGGACAACAAATTTGACTTAGCAGAGGCATTCTCATTACTTACGTAATTTCAGAAGCAGCCAACAGCGACTAAACCTCTGATCAGCTTTAGAAGGGTGGCTGTAGGGAAGCGCAGGGATAATATAGTGCCAGATGTGTTTTTCCAGGCATTCACAATGTCTGGAACATGTTAATATAATTACAATTTTAAAAGATAAATAGTATCTAGAAGAACAAGATGTACTTCTAGTGGGTTAACTTTTTGAAGGATTTCTATTTTTCTGGTATTACTTCTCTACTCTTAGAGATGTACTGTGAATCAAAGCTAATTCAAGTATTATAGGATAAATACATTGTCAAAAATATTTCTGGGTTTTATAAAATCCTGCTTCTAATACAGTAAAGTTTATTGTCAAATACGTAGTTTCTCCTTTTCCTTTTTATGTGAGTTTGACCTCTGTGGTCATCACCTCTATAGCAGCAGTCAAACTATATACCTCACTGTGGTGGGATACAGGAAGACTACTAAAATCTATAAACATACCAATTAGAGAAAAATGAAGCTCACTCTGATAGTGCGTGGCTTGGGTTCCATATCTTCTGTCTGCACCTGTCCTTTCTATTCTTCTGTGCTGTTCTTTTTGTTTGTTTGTTTCTTTTACTTCTTTCTCTTTTTTTGTTTTTTTTTTTTTCTTTTCTGTAAATATACAGTCACAGGACTGAAACTCAAACTATTGTACTGCTGATTCTCTCACGTTGCTGATTCTGAACACCATCTAGTAACATGGCTTGTAACATAGAAACTCGAGATACCTGAAAAATGCCTGAAATTGCTTTTCAGTTTATGGAGTGTTAGTGTTTTATGTACACTTTCATAAGGAAGTAAAAAGTAAAATGTAGTAAATGGGGACAGCATTAAAACTAAGTTATAAATATGCAAATTTTAAAGGAAAGTAGGTTTTGGCTTGTTTTTGGGTCCATCTGCCTTTTACATCTTTTTAAGTTCAAACAGCAAAACTACTTCTGATTTAACTCTTACATTTTTGGCAAGCTTAATAAAGGACAAATCAAAGCTAAATCAGAGGTATTTACAACAACCACAAATTTAAGCCAAAGTGGGTACTTAAAATGCTCATATAGTTCTAAATGATGTTCCTTCCAGATGGTGAATTAATGTAATTTTAGCAGGAAGTGAAGTTGCACAAATACGCAGTATTTAGAACACTCACTGATTTAATGTTTCTGTACCCACCAAGGCACAGATGTTGCTTATCATTTTAGTGCCAGTTGTCTCTATCTTTCCAATTACTGCAAATGGAGGAGCGCAGTTTGCAAGAAGAGAAAGGGGGCTGGGAGGAACTTGAGTTAGTAAATCCTCCTTCAAATTCAGCCAATCTTCTTTATCTTCAGCCCACCTCACCTGCACAATAGTAGCCACGGTGGCTTGTTTGGGGAGTATCTCTTTATGCCTTAGTGCTTTAGTGCCTATCTTGGCTCTCGGTTGGTGTCAGAGTAAAATGTTTTAACCTGTAGAGCAATCTTTGACTTCCATTCTGTCCTTACTCTCTTTTGTCATGTCTCTAAAGCAGTGATTTGGGGAATACGTAGGACAGATCTTTTGGCTTAAACAAAAAGTAGCTCCTGGTAGGTAGCTTCAGCATCAGAGCTAAGCTCATTGCTTAGTGCAGAATATCCTGATCATACTGCATGTGTTTACAAACCTCCTCCTTTTGCATGTATTTCTCAGCAAGGAGAAAACAGCAGGGATCATTTGGTATTGATGAGGGCATTTCTTTTTTTGAGTGCTTGTGGGTGGAATTGCTGAATTGTGGAATTGATGCATTCTTAATGTAGGAAAAACCCTGCTTCTCTGCTGAAGGCAGAACTGGGGAAGGAGGTGTGAAGGCCTTGATTACTTCTAATTCCCTTTTCAAACACTGGTGCAAATCAGTGGGTTGGAGGAGGTGGCAGCTGCTGTGAGCTCTGCCCTGTTGAAAATTCACCAGCTCAGCACTGGTAACTGCAACACACAATCCATTACATTCCCTGTCCACTTCTCCATGGTTCAACATAGTTTAAGAGAACGTAGCATTGGACTAGCATGTTTTTTTTCACCCCAGGTGACCATGCAAGACCCCCACCTAGTAGAACTGCAAAAGAACTTTCCATTTCTCTGTGCTGCTTGGCAGAATAGCACACAAGATTAGATGCTTCACTTCATAGGTTCAATTATGTGTTGAAGATCCATATGGTCTTGGATAGATGTTTCTCTGCTCRCAGAATAATGGAAAAATAGTTATGATACAATAGTACATATGCYATACTAATATTTAAAGACTTGGTTGGTATAGGCTAACTCTCAGCAGCACAGAATTTTGTCCATCGATTTTCTTAATTGACAACAAATATATATTCTTCTTTGCACAGGGACTAAAAGGTGACCCTGGTGATCCTGGTGTGGCTGGTCCTAAAGGAGAAAAGGTACTTACTGCCCATAAAGAGGCTGCATATATGAGTGTGTGTGACAGATCTTCAGTACTTGCACATTGCCCTAATGACATGTGTGTGAGGAACACCTACTGCTGACATTTGTCTGCTTTAAGGATTGAGGAATATAAATACAAGAGAGCTGTAAATTTAGAGGGCAAGTGCTGCTATCACCACAGAAGGGAAGGAATCTTCTTTTCAGAGGTATTCAGAACAGGACTGCAATGTACATGTTTTAAACTGCTTTCTACGTACTCTGGTTCATTCCCATTGACTGAGCCTGAARGTCTCACAGCAAGACTCAAACCTCAATTATGTAATTCTGTGAACATTTACATATTCAGGTGTCTTTACATTTGTGAACAGTTGCACTAACTTCAGTGGCCATTTTATGCATGAAAGCTGCAGCTTATAATTAAACATATGCAAATACCTTTGCAGAATTGCTTTTTTAAATTGTGATTAATATGTGAAGAAGTCTGCCTTTTTCTTCTGTTTCAYCTGTGGTGAATATGTGTTTTACATTTATGCCGTTATTGAAAAAATACTACATATTTTCGTAATTAGAGCATGCAACTGATGGCTATACTGAATTTACTTGTGGTTTATATCTTCTTAAATGCACAAAGATTAAAAATGCATGTCTAGAAGGACTGCTAATTTTTCTGTCCTCTTTTTTTTCACCAGGGAGATACAGGTCCTCCAGGACCAACTGCCTTAAGTGTAAGTATCCATAAAAAAAAAGAAAAGAAAGGAAAATGTGGCAGCTTTTACTTCTTTGCAATGCCAATGCTTTTATTATTGAATAAAAGGGCCAAGTCTCTCTCTTTAAAATGTCTCTACGTTTTCAAAATTAATGAGATTCAGGGGAAAGAAAGAAATACATAAGTATACCCGAGGGGAAAACATATTTTAAATATGTTTCCCATTAAACACTATCAGGAATAGTCTTTTTTATTCTTCATATAGATCACATAGACCATCTAAAGTGTGAGAATTCCCTTGGTGCTTTTCCTGAAAACATACTTCTGTGAAAGCTTGTAGTACTAATTCATGTTTTGAATATATTTCAAAAATATTGTATATTCTCCTCCAATCCTGGTTCTCTAAGCAAACACAGTGGTAATATGGTATATACTTAATATGAAAGGTGAGAAAGCTGCTCACTTAAAAATTGAGTAGATCGGATCAGACTAGTGGGAGGGGAGTTCACAGGCTTTCTGTAGCTGAGCTCCATGCCATAATGCTTGTAGACAGACTTGAGGAGTTCTGCGTAGGCTAGTCTTGAAGTCACAGGTTTTGATTTTCCCAACCTCTTACAGCTGGTGAGTGCTTCATGTGATTAAGTGTTTATATTACCATATTGTCTTTTGAGTTATATCTGATTTAAYGGTAACTCTTGCTGTTTTTATCATCGTCATCTTATGAAGGCAGATGGCTTTTTTATTAGTTACCATTATTATAGTTTTAATAGGTATTGTTAGTTGTCATAACAGTTCCACTTCACCCTCAATATTGGATACAGGTTTGACTGTGATAAAGTAATAAAACAGGAATTTATAAAGAAAAAGACATGTGCCTATCTTTTATCTCCATTAAAAAAAAAAAAAAAAAAAAGTTAAAAAGAAGTTGGTGACCAGAAAGCATTTTTCAGTCTCTGTGTATCAGACTTGGGAAATTTTGCTAATTTTGATATAAATTCACTTAGTCATATTCTTTCTTGTATTCTGCCGAAGAATAGGTGAGTTCATACATGATTAGTTGTCTTCCTAGAATCAAAATCAGATGTACTGAGCATGGATCAAAGACATTTTCTTTATGAGGATTTGAAACCTGTGCACCGCAAAGAAAATCTGGATAATTTCTTGGCCTGTGTATTTGCTGTAAATAGATATTGCCATATAGATGGTAGAGGGTGGATTTAATTTACTTGCAATAATCTCAAGTACCCCAAGCCTAAGACAAAAGCTCCCTGAAACTCTCTAGGGTAAGATATGTTTTATAAAAGTGGTAAGACCTATCTGAATCAAAGTAATTTTATCCACAGAATAAAATGAAARGGCCTCCCAGTAAGGTGAAAGCAATTGAGAATGATGCAAAATACCATGAAAGAAATGAAAAGAAACATAACTCCTCATTCCCAAGCTCTACCTCCACTGCATGACCAGTTCCTCCCCAGGATTCACCACTTATGAACTAATTCAATTTATATTGGCTATGTAATCCTGTGATATTTTCATAAGAACAATAGTTCCTATTCATACTCCTGTTGATTATTCTGTACTTTTTCATTTTCTTTGTTGCCAAAGATATCCATCAGCTCTAACAAATACTGAAGGATTTAACCACAAGTCCTTTACATAAAAATAACTTCTATTCTAAGATTCCAAAATTAAGTGAACGTAGTTTTTTGTACTCTGTTTGAGATTAGGAAATCCAAACATCCAGTATCTTGATTTCCAAGTGATGAACTAGTAGTGTCCCAAGATTGGTGTCTATTGCTAAAGTTCATGCCTTACTGAAGATAAACAGGGCCAATTATACATTTAACATCTCTTTAGCATACAATAGAAATACATGTTGAAACCATTAATGRTAAGGTATATTTATTAAACAGCTCTTGATAAGGTATATTTATTAAACAGCACTTGATTCTAGGACTGTTACTGCAATAGATTGTTGAGGGTAGATCATGTTTCAAATAGATTCTTACAGTGATCTTGAAGGGATCACTGAGATAGAAGTATGATGGTTTTGAAGATAAGACACAAGAAAAAGAGTGGAAGATATCTATTTTCCATGTGTTATAGATCACAGTACTATCCCTTTAAGTATTTCTTGTGTAAATGGCAGAATAATGACTAGATCTATTCTCAGAGCAGCACCTGGTTATGTTAGGCCTTTGATCTGATCTGATTGTATATTGTTGCATTGTTTTCAGTGCTATTGCGGGCACTTGGCTTTTCTAAAACTCATATTCAAAGGTTGGCATCTCCAGCACTGAAAATCAGAAGCTGCTGAATTAAATTAACTGAATATGCTCTTTCTTTAGCTTAGATGATACACATTAGTAAACAGGACTGTCAAATATTGAAATTTCTTTGATTATAAAAAAATACGAATATTTCAGATCAATTGATTCAGGCACAGAAAGATGGTACTGCATTGGTACAGCCACCGATGGTTGTCTTCACAGTTTTTAAAAGGAAGCATTTAAATTTTGCAAAAAAAGATGTGAATCGTACTGAAACATGTGGCTGTTAACTGAGGGAAGAGACAAGCAGGAGGGTGAATTTGAATTTGAAGACAGATTACAGTGCAATGGGAATATGCGGCCCAGCAGGATGTCTCTCTCTCTCTGCCACTGTAAATAGTCATGCATTTCTGTTGGATAGAACTAAAAGAATACGAATTACATGAATGATGGTGGTTAGGGGAAAATCTGATCTTCATAGTTTATTTATTTGTGTGACTTCTGTGTCATCATGACTTTTATGGTATGTAAGTGTAAAGGCTGGATATCTTATCTTGCCATAAATTAATAATAGGTCAGATAATATTACAACTAATATGTCACTGAATGAGAACTAATTATGTCAGGACCATTCATGTTGTTACAGCCAAAAAGTGACATCAGTGTTTCAGTTATGAGCCTGTTTAAATCAAGATTTTTAAAATCTTCTATTTATTTGGGGCTCATGCATAATGTCATAAATTTATCCTATACTTGGAATCATTTTTAATTTGTCCCAGTGAGAAAATTATTCTCTTTTCTTTTTATAGAAACACGAAACAAATTATTATGCTGGGAAGGGAGAGAAGCAAAAATAATGATGCACTAACACACGAATGACACACATTAGAGCTAACTCCAAAATAACTTGATACTGCTTTCCAGGKTTGGGGAGGGAGGGAATATTTAAAGAGATGTGCTTGTGCCTGTATGGGAAAACTGGTCACTACCTTCTTGTCATGAGACAGGAGGAAAATGATACCATTACTAAACTCTGCTGGCCTGTGCTGCTCTTCCACTCATTTCTATAGAACTTATACACCAGTGAAATAAACTGGGGAAGGTCMAGCATTTATGTTGGTCCCAATATAATCTAGTGCTGTGCAGCTGTAGGCTTAGTGAGATGATGAAAATTTCAGCTTGTTCATTAGGCCAAGGCTCCTGGTTCCCCAGTAGTATTTTGGAAATGGATATTCCCGCATAGGCACATTGGGCCTTTCCACCTACGAGTCCACATGCGGGATAAGGGGTRGCAGTGAGAGCTGGAAGCCAGGGAGTTATCCCCAGGCACCATCCATCCTGTAGTTCTGTCCTCCTCACCAGGGCAATGAACATGACAAAGCCTCTGCAGAAAGTCACTGACAGCTGTTGGTGGTCCCCAAGTCCACTGAGAGTTGTCCACAGGTCATCTACAGAAGCATCTAGCAGTAAACAGCAGGAACTCTTCTTCTTCACTTGTTCTTGCTAATGGTTCCTGTGAAAATCTAAAGGGTGTCAATGAATCACGTGCCTAACATGATTCAGAAACTGCTGAGACAGAGTAAATCTGTGCTGCTCAGAAACGTAGCAGTGCTCTCTGGACTCCAACTTCTAACAGAACTAAAATCAGAAGAGAGTGAAGTTATTGATAGTTAGAAAGTTATAGATAGATATTTATAGATAGATATTTATAGCTAGATAGAAGTTATAGGTAGATAGAAATCTACCTGTGTTTTAGAAAGTGTTCAACTGACGGAAACAGCCAGTATAGTGAATAAGGGATATTCACGTGGTATGTATGACAGAACCCATGAATTCCCTGCCACTGTAACAAACTGTTAGGTGAATGAGCACCTGCCAAACTATATAAAAGGGGAAATAATGCTACTGCTTTGGGAGATATGGAAATGATTTAATCTGTTTGAAATGCAAATTTCATAGTTTGGAAATGCTTTGTTCTGTCAAAACTTAAGTGCTCTGAATAACCTTGTCCAGTTTGATACAGTTTAAGAGAACATCTCCACCAGAATCCTTAAGAATGCTCCTTTCATAAAATTTTTTGCTTGAAGCAATAGCAAAGTCAGAAAGGAATTGTTGGATAGGTACCTGACCATATGCTTCAGAAGTTAACAGCACTGGAATTAGAATTTGCAGCCCATGTGTTTCTTTAAAGCAGATATGGAAAATTCTGTTAATATAATATCATCTTCCCAAAGTGATGAAATCAGAGGGGATAAAAAAGGAACTGCATTGTAATGCAAAATACCGTATGTTGCAAAAAAAATACGAAAAAATATAAGGTCGTTGTAGAATCCTGTTGAAGTTGGAAATCACAAGAGAGTTTTAAGAATATTCATTTAGCTCATGCATTATTCATGCAAATACATTTCATTCTCTCTAATSATTAACTTTGACATGTATGTACATATCTGAGAACTTTTAATAATGATTTAAAGTTTTTTATATGTTTTTGTGGAGTCGTTTGCACTGCATGGTTGAAGATATATGTTTAGATACATCTTAGAGGAGTAGTCCAAAGTCAAGATTACTACTCATCTTCATTTATGCTGCCTTTCATATTTTTGGTATTTTTACATTCTGGATTACTCTGTAAGCACCAGATCTCTCTTTTTAGTATTTTTCAAATGTGCTATCATACACATTAGGACTATATTTTGAACTCTTTATCGTAATCATATAATTATATCCAATTTATGCAGGAATGTGTTAT